GGGCGGGGGTGAGGAAAGACGTGCATCTCACTACCGACCTGACCTCCTAGGTCAGCTGGTGAGAGCAGCTCAGTAACTTAATGGAAGAAAAAAGTACAATTTGAAAAGTTTTATCTTTATTATTTTTATTTTTTACAAAAGAAATACATATTGCAAAACAATAAAATAGATATAAAGGGAAAGCAAACGTCTCATAAAGCCCACTGCTCTCCACCGGCCCGTGGCCCCCGCTGCCCTCGGGGCGTTAATCCGAGGTTGAAACAGGCCGTGGGGACCACAGTCCTGAGCAGCGGCGCTCCGGGCACCTGTTTGGTGCCACCTCTGTCGCCGGCAGCTTTGGCGCGCTCTGTTCACCAGGCCTGACTAGCATGGCCGGTCCACTGACCAAAAACACAATGCTCTCGCAGCAGTGCTGGGTAAAAATTTAAAAATCTGGAGGCCCTAGAAGATATTGGTCACGTGTAGAGAATATTTTGAAGAAAAAAAATGTCGTGTTTGAGAGTCCCGCTCCTACAGCACCCATGGCGCTCAGGGTTCCCCGTGGAGCCACGCCCAGGCGGTGCCCCGCTCTCCCCACCGGCTTCACGTCGGGAAGGAAGGGTGCACATGCCCTGGCGTGGGCAGCACCGGGTGCCAGAACGCCAGACCTGCCCCCCTTCTAGCAGGACCTCTGACCCTTCATTTCTCTTTCCAGCCGGGACCATTCCACCAGCTGGATCACTGTGCCCATCAGGCGCTCTCGTCGCTGCTATCGAAACCCAGGTGGTAGAACACAGCCTTCCCCGGCTGCTGGGGCTGCAGGGCCTGGGGGCTTTCAGGGTTGAGGTCGCTGAACCAGCTCATTTGGGGGTCCCCCTGGGAGCTGTCCTGGGGAGAGTGCCCGCGGAGCTGCCGGAGGGCCCGGGGTCTGAGTGCCCCTCCCCGAGCAGGCTGTGTGGGGTTCCGTCCCTGGAACCCCCGACACAGGGGCTGAGCACGGGGCTCCTGCTGCTCCGGGGGGGACCCCTGTGAGCCGGGCCCGGGAAGCTGGGGGCACCTGGAACTGAAAGCACAGGCTGTGCTTCGGGGTTGCTCTTGCCGCCTGGTGGGGGGCCTGCCCCGGTGGGTGCTCCTGGGCGGCCGGCCTCTCCGCCTGTGTTCTCCCGTCACCAGCCGCTGCTCACAGGGGTCACGTGAGAACACGCCTTTGGTCTGACATTTTGGGCTGGTTACAAAGTTGTTTACATCCAGGGACAGAAGCCGCAAGGCTCCTTGGGCAACCAGCTTCCTGCCGCCACAGTTCTCGGAGCTCGTTTTAGGGAGAAGCTGGCTCTTGAGGCTCGTCTGTACGGCCTTGTCCCGGACGCCCCTGCTTCTCTTTCCTTCTCCCACGGCCTCTTCGGGGAGGGCTGCCCTCTTGGCTCCCTCACCCCAGACATCAGACTCCCCGGGCCGCAGGGCGCCCACTCTCAGCTCCAGCGCTGGGAGGG